CGCTTCGTCGCTAACCCTTGTACGGGTGGGACGGGGGAGAGGGGAAGGAGGTTACTGTACCTGGAGGAGGAGGTCGTCGCAGAGGCCGGCGATGGCGGAGTAGGACTTGGCGGAGAGCGCGGCGTGGACGGCTGAGAGATCCATCGGAGGAGGAGGAGGAGGAGATCGCCGGCGGTGGGGTGTTTGGGGGCGAGGGTTTTGGCCTCTGAGATTGTGCGATTTCAGTAAAATCCGGGCAGCTTTCGACGTTTTGTTTCCGGAGAGAGAGAGAGAGAGAATACGGAAAGAAAATAGAACATGGGATGTCCATCCAGCCCAACTACTTTTTTTTGCGGGTGAGCCCAACTACTTTTTCATGGACCAGCCCAATCAATTTTGTTGGTTTGGGTGCGAACTCCTCTCTGAAAAAACTATGGTTTGAACTTCTAGGCTCGCCAAGTCAGTAATTTAACTACTAAAAAAAAGTCAGTAATTTAACTACTAATAAAAACTACTAATAAATCTCAAAAAGGAAATTTAATTGCTATTATTTCCATGATTCACATTTCAGTTATTTATTCTTTTATTTTGTGAAAATAATCAAGATCTATTAGATTCACCGGAAGTATGCACCTCAAAACAATAAAAATTACATCAACGTCCATGTACCACCGAACGACCACTATCGTCGCCAGAACAAACCGTTGACACGTCGTTGTCGCCGCTCCAACATCAGAGCCGTCTTGACCTTGTCAATAAAAGCGGGGAAATCTTTGTGCACGTGCCCCTAACTAAAAAAATTGGCTTGCTATGAAGTAGCATGTATCAATACACTCCAGAGATCTCAAGTTGCTCTAGATCTTAGTTGCGTATTCTGATATTCCTGTTCTGCATAAGTCGATACGGGCATACAGGCTAAACCTTGACAACCATGCTTAGTCGGTACTTCTTTGCGCCTTTTTCTCCTAAGAAACCATCTTTGTGCCTTTTTCTCCTAAGAAAACCTCTTTGTGCCTTTTTTGGTTTATTTCCATAAAGTTTATTTTACAAAGTTGCTAAATCGGTTTGTTAAAGGGAGCTTCATCGTGTTAATTTAAACTCACAATTGAATTTTTCATTTTTGTTTCCTATTGAATTAATTATTGTTTTTACATTCATGTGCTAATACCTATATGCCTCTAGTTATGTTCAACAATATTTAAAAACTGTTAGCATGAGATTTTGATGTTGCATGCACACTTATCACATATCAAATGTTCTTCCACCTCTTCCGAAGCATACCATACCACATTACCACTACTAGCATTCCTTCCGAAACTTCATCAATCATTTTTTTGCGGATCATTGTGCGTCTTAAATTGTTGTCGCGGCTGGTAAAACTCAAAGTTGTTTAGAAAATTGTTAATACTGGTAGCAATGTTTTCCGTTTGTTGCCAAAACATTAACAGATACTCTAACTACGTGCAAGCATGGTGCAAGTGTGATGCCACAGAGGTTGCGAATATGACAATTATACTCTTAATGCTATATTAATTGACCACTTTATTAGGAAGCACGGTGCAAGTGTGATTCACCGGAAGTAAGACGATTATGTGGTTTGAAAAAAGCCTCAACTACAATCAAAAAAATTAAGGGGCAACCCAAATTCAAAACGAGCAGTATTGGCAGGGGTTAATATTAATCCGACAAAGTTTGCCCAGCTGAGTAAGGTGGGGGAGGGGGCATCCAGCCAGGAGCCACCATAGCCGGCCCCGAGGACAGCGAGGACCATCAAGCATCCTCCAATTATTCAAACCTCACTTGTTTGCGTGGCACATATATAGAAGTAATAGGCCCCCGCGTCGTCCCCCGCATCAGGCGACTCGGGTGGCTCCCCAGACCCTAGCCGCCAAGCGCCACCTAATCTCCCTCCCTTACCTCAGTCGGCGCTAGAGGAAGCCGCCAGGCTATGCATCGGCGGCCGACGGCCGTGGCGGAGGCCCTCCTCTCCCCTCTCGTCACATCGGGTGGTGCGGGACACCCAATCGCGCGGGGGCGTGATCCAGGATCTGGGCCACGGCAGCGACACAACGTCTCGTTCCTGCGACTGCGCGTGGCGGCGGCGTGGTGCTGGATGGTGGCAGAGGTGTTGTGGAGGCGCCGATAAGGTTTGGGGACCAAGGTGGTGGCCACCCCAGTGGGCGTCTCCTGATCTGGTTGTCGTCTCCCCTCCCTATGCGCCTCCGTATCTAGGTCTCGGTCCTCAATGCGGTTGGAGCTCGGGGTGGAGATTCACATATCAGTCGACG